GGGCTGTGAAACCTCCACCCCAGAGGCGCTCCAGTCAAGGCTGGCTAAACCCCGGCCAACTTGGTCCGAGCTCGGAGCTGAGCCTGCCTGACGCGGGCGGACCAGGCCCCACGAAGCTCCTCCCGGCCCGAATCACGCTACGATCACACGCGCTGTGCCCGGTCCAAGCTAGGGAGCAGTGCTGACTCCGGCTTACCGCTGCCTGCGAAGACCGCCGCGTGCTCACCCCGCTGCTGCTCTGGCTGCTGGCAGCACTCGGGGGCGCAGCGCTCGGTGCCGAACCTCCGTCTTCAGCTTCAGGAGTCTCTGTTTTGACTTCCTCCAGCTCAGGAGCTTCAGAACTGATGCTGATGTCAGCGTCAGTGCTGGTACGGTCTGATGGCTGCTCTCGTCTCCTCTTCCTCCTTTCCAGGTTTTCAAACATGTGCATGATGGCCTCCACCTTCCTGTCCTCCCGGGACTGGAACACAAGAGTAAAGCCAAGTCAGATCACGCACTCGAAGAGGAGGCAGCAAGAACAGAGAGGGGATGCGGCACAGCAAGAAGTGCCAAACGGCAACGGCAAGAGCCAGGAAGGGGACAGAGAGAAGCAGTTCTTTGCAGATATTTGCATTTTTCAACATGGCAAATTTCCCAGAACACCACCACAATCGTGTCCATGGAGCAACCAGAGAACCAGACTTTGTTCTGAAACAGGAGCACCGAGACGGTGCCGCGGTGCGTTTGTAACGGCCACGAGGCAACGCGTGATTCTGGAGGACTAAATCCGTAAGAACGAGCCCAGCGAAGAGAACGTGGGCGCGCGGAGCGCTGCCCGCTGGAGACCGGATGCTGGAAGCAAACAGAAGCCAGAGGCCGCAGGAGTGAAGCGGTGATGGCAGCGAGCACAACGCACCACGCCGGCGGACGGAACCGCCCCGCATTCCCTCCTTCCCTGGCGCCAGCAGACGGCCCGGCTCAGCAATCAAAGCTCTGCTCTAAGCAGCTTACGCCGGGGGTAAGAAAATCAGCCGGAGAGAACGGAGGCAGACAAAGGCGTTTGCTGGGCAAACGGAAAGGCCGGGCAGCCTGGGCCCCTGGCCACGGCAGAGAGAACCGGTGCTTCGGTAAAGAACCGCAGCGCCGCGGCCACCGGCACACGGTGGGGCCAAGCGCCTCCCGGCTCACCCTGGAGTGGGAAGTGCCCCGAAGCAGGCAGCCGTGCTCGGAGTAGGTGTCTGGGCAAAAACATTCAGAACCCCGACAGAACCGGAGCCGGGGAAAACGGCAGAGCCAGCCATCCAGTCATTTACCGGGTGCCAAGTACAGAAAACGGAATCCCGTTACGGGAGATTACGGGGCTGATGTACGGGAACGGGCATACGGGCTCGCGGAAGCGAGCGCTTCGCCTGGTCCTCTCCAACTACACTGTCCCACAGACCCAGCTCCCCGCGGTCCGGAGGGACCTTCCCTGCAGGCTCGAGGCCGCTCTGATGGGCGACGGCTCTCACTCACATCCGACACCGACTGCTTTCTCTTGCTCCTGCGAGCAATCCGTGACACAACCCGAGGGTCCCCACCGGACGGCCCTTGACCTGCAACCGGCTGCACCACCCTACCATGTAATGCACACTCGGGAGAGCTACGCACGAGCGGGGAGAGACGGGGGTTACGGTGCCCGGGGAACAAGAGCAGCCAGGGAGCTCCCTCCTCCGGTGCATCTGTCGGCTGGCTGGAGGACAGGAGTGCTTTTCCTCTTCTTCTTCCTTGGGGTTTTGGTTGGTCGGTTCATTGGCTTCTGCTCGTTTGGGTTGGGTTTGTTCTCTTTTGTTCTGGGGTTTTTATTCGCATTAGTGAGTTAAGTAGAGCCAGACCAGCTCCGCTCACGAGCATACGGCATCCTCGTCCAGGGAGCAAGCCCAGGTGCCACAAGAAGCCCTTCTCCTGGCAGAAAAGGCAGCTGCGGGGCACCGTGCCACCGGAGACCCAAGAGCACCACGGACTGGCCCGACCAAGAGCACCACAGACTGGCTCCCGATCTGGGAGCACGACGGGACAGAGAACACGGCGCATCCGCTGACTTGGGCCAACAGCAGCGCCGGCGGCCCACCCTTCTGCCGCTTCATCCTACACGTTTCCCACCAGGCAAGACGCCTGTGAACCCCCCCGGGAACAAACCGGACCCAGCAAAACCAGCTGAGCTCTAACAGAAATCCTCGTGGAAGGTGTCCCTGCCCACCGCAGGGGCGCGGGCTCGATGCCCTTTAAAGGTCGCTTCCAAACCAAAGCATTCCGTGACGCTGCGACTCCATCCGGCTCTATGGAGCCTTGCCCTGGCAGTGAGGAAGGGCAGCAGGAACAGAGAGGGTGCCGTTACCTGTCGTGAAACTGGGGCGGATTGTCTCATTAACGGTACCCTTTAGGCTACGGAACAGCCCTGCAAGCAACAGGCAAACCTTCCAGCGAGGAGACAGAGCTGCCCCACGCCTCCCAGTGTAGCACCCCAACACAACTCCTGCCACCTGCAGCCCCCCTGGGGTTGGTGGGTTTGGTTTTAATCCCCGAAGACCACTGCCGGCGGGAACTTGTGCCGAAACAAGGAAAATAACCAGGGGGGGCCCGCCGGCCAACGCGTGAAGCAAGTCCTAAGCGTGAGAGAGAGGCTGAGGAAGGTACTTGCCCGTCGGCTGTGGACCAAGGCTCCCTGTTCATCTACAGGCTCCTCTTTCTCCCCTTCGTGCTTCTCCTCCTTCTCTGCCACCTGCAAGCAAAGCCCAGACTCAGCCTGGCAGACACACCCCGTGCGCGTTGAAGTCACCAAGGCCCAAGGTGCCGAAGGTTTAAGAACGGCCTCCTGCAGTTTCCGTCCCCAAGAGCCCGGTGCCGCACCCGACCAGGAGACACCCCAGCGAGCGCCACAAACACGCAGGGCCGAGTGCCGGGGCTTTACCTCATTGTCACTGCCCGCCGCGGGTCCCTCAGGAGCCTCCTCCATCTGCTGAGAGCCGTTCTCATCCGACGCCATGCCCTGCTGTTCCATTTCTAGCTCCTTTCGGCGGGCTTTTCGCCGGCGTGTTTCTGCCCCAATCAGAGTGCCTAAAACAGGTGGAGGTAGGTGTTCTGCAGCATTTGGGCTACGTTTCTGCACAGGGCAATTCCGGTTCCCCTTGTGACACGCACAGTCCACTTTATAGTTGCTGCTCCAAAACACAAACATAATTGGTGTCACTTCATTTCTCCGCCCTCGCACAGAGACATTCAATGCATCTCCTACTAAACATCTCACCACGAGCCAAAGCAAGGACAGCAGGCTACCTTAAGGCCTCTACTGGAGAACATGCCAGCAGAACTGGACAGAATAGCCGGAAAATGCAATTCAGTAGAAAACGGAGCAAAATGTAGAATGCGAGGAAAGGGCTGGAGGAAGATGTCCAGTCCAGGAGGGCAGTGGAGAGCTCCCGGGCGAGGTGAAGGACTCACCAGATGTTGTACTCATAGTCAAAGGCGATGGTAACCTCTGTGTCCTTGGCGATGGTGGCGACGGCGTAGATGCACAGGTGGATCATCCCATCGGCTATCACGTGGCGAACCTTGTCAGACAAAGCAGAGAAACCAACGTCTCCGCGAGCTGCACCGCTCGCTTCCAAGCGGGAAGCCTCCTTCTGCCAAGAGGCTCTTATCTATTCCGTGAATAACCATCCTGACCTCTCCACAGGGAAAACCCTGCTCCTCTGCTCGCCTCGCCCTCAGCTTTTCCACTCGCGCCTGCTACCTCCCGCTCACCCAAGGGAAAGCCGTAAAGAAATCTTTCCCTTCCAAAGAAAAGCCTCCTGTTCCCAAACTTCCAAGTACAAAACACGAAAGAAGCAGGAGATGCAGAGAATTTACCCCATTCACTGCAACTCAGTTTGAACGTTCGCAGGAAGGGGACGCGCCAGGCCTGCGCGAAGCACGTGTTTCAGTAACAGCGACGGAGGAGAGACCGTACCTCTGCGTTCGGGGTGCAGGAACGCCTGATGAACCTGGCATCGTTACCGAAGGTGCGGGCATCGACACACATTTCAACGCCATTGAACTTGGAGTAGAACAGCACAAAGGGGTATGGCCTGGAGAAGCAACAGAACGTCTCAATCCCCAACTCCCCAACTTCCCCAGCGCCTACAAGAGGCATCCCTGACTCCTCTGGAAGCAGCGCTTCCGCCAGCGCCACCGCTCTGGGCGCTCCCGCACTCCGTCAGCGGTTTAAGAGATGTCCTGCAGCGGGCTGGTCCATCAGCAGAGCACCAGCCTGGGGCTGCGTACTGCTTTTCCCCTTTCTAAGGGCGGCAGGGCTCGCGAGGGCCTGCAAGCGTGCGTCAGCCCGCGGGGACACGAGGCTCTCCGTGCCAGACGCTCTCATGCTCATCACTCCATAGTACTCTTACTTTTTGAAGAAATGCCCATTGACCTCGAATTGCTGCCGTAACATAACCTTCCCTCGATACTCAATTATAAGGGTGTCTAGCGCCAAGTCTCTCGCCGCCCTCAGGATCTTCCGGTGTTTCTGGACCCGAGTCACCCTTCCCAGCTGCAGCTGTAACGAAAAGCAGAGCAAAGGGTGAGAACTGAAGCCACAGGCCTCCACCTCCGGGAGTATTTTACCTACAGGAAAAGGAAAATCCCGGCCGTAGCAGCCGACGGAAAGTGCCGGGCGAAGGTACTGTTTACCCCGCAGCGTGAACTCGCGTGAGGAGCAGCGATCTCGGCAATATTTACGGAAAGCAAGGAGGGTTCGTTCCTGTCCTGCCATGGCGAGTCCCACAGGGCCGTCCCAGCCAGGGTCTGAGGCTTGCAGGTAGGAGGCATAACCAGACCTGCCAGCTGCTGCGGACAGGGAACCGCTCCGCAAATGACGGCCCCTCACCCGGCAGAACGCAGACCTCCCCTAAACTGTGGGTTGTCACGCCGTCAGAGTTAAAGCCACCAGCTTTTCCTTCTGCAGAAGATGGTAAATTCCAGCCAAGAGGCCAAAGACTTCGGCTGGCAGTTTCCCTCCACCCCGAAACGTCTCTTCCCCTGCCTGCTCGTCCTTCACGTCCACGTCCCCAGCTCTACCCCAAGGGATTTCACAGCAACGCGCCTCAGCAGCGCGAATCCACAGCGCCCGTAGCCCGGCGTCCCGACCCACGTGCTCCAGGAAGAACGGGAGGGACAGCGCAAGCGTTAGGACTTAGGAAAGATGTTTTCGGCAAAACGAAAGCACTTGTGCTCAACAGAGCGAACCTCCCTGCGAGTCAACGCCACGTGGGGACGCCCGGCTGCCTCCCGCTGCGCACGAGGACCCAGTTCTGACGCTGCTGGGAGCAAGGCGAGGCGTTCTCACGTCACTACTAACAATGGCCCTCCACCTGCTGGGGCCACACGGCTGCGTTCCGAGCAAGCTCCCAGCTCTCCCTGAACAGCTACGGGGACAGCCACCCCCTGAACTTACGGAGGGGCTCAGCCTGGGCAGCCACGGAGCGCGGGACGTCCTCAGCTCGCGACGGCGAGTTCATGCCTTACGGCAGCACCCAGCGCTGGGAACCAAAGGAAACCCACCCAACCGACCCCATGGGAGTACGGGACCACAGACCCTTCGGTAGCAACCTCGTCTGTGCTCTGCACTGAACCTCTTCCATAGCACTTGGAACCTCTGCAGATCTCCTCCAGAGAGGGATGCAGCACCACGCTTCACAGAGTCACGGAACCATTTGGGTGGGGAGGGACCTTAAGGCCCCCCAGTCCCACCCCCTGCCACGGGCAGGGACACCTTCCATAGTCCAGGCTGCTCCAAGCCCCATCCCACCTGGCCTGGAACACCTCAGGGGTGCCCACGGGGTCCCCCTTTTGCACACCACCGTCTGCCGCAATTGGGAACGCCCGCCGGCCGGTACTGCAGACCCCGAAAAGCCTTGCAGGGTGTCGCTCATCCCTTCAGACCTCAGGTCCTGACACGGGCACACACAGGGTTTCCTGAGTCCACTGACCTGGCATAAAAAACCCATGTTATTCCCAGACTGAGATTCTGGGAATCCCAGCCCGGATTCTGACCCCCAGACCCGCGAGACAAGCGAACTGCAGGGTAGGACCGTCCACGCTGCCGAGCCGCGGCCGAATACGTTACAAACACAGGACACACTCCGTGCGGTCCGGCTACCCTGACGGAGAGCGGATAAACAGACGGGACTAGAGCTGTTGAGCGAGAGAGGAGATGAGGAGGAAGAACTGAAATTGCGGCCGACTGGGACCAAGACACGTGTGTCTCCAGCTTGATGATTTTGTTGCTGTTCTACCACTCGGTTGCCATTAGAACCAGTTTCTCATCTACGAAGTCGTGAATTTGATAAAACAGGAGCGACCTCATCGCTCTTCCCCAAGAGGCTAGCTCAGCTCGTTTCCGTTCTCTGAACGCAGAGCAAGCAGAGGATTAGCTGCCAGGCGCGAAGAGAACCACCCACTTCCCCACGTCGCGGGCCGGGGTCGCTGCGTGCTAACCACGCCAACCCAACGCCAGGGCTGCAGGGCAGCAGCTGCCTAGCTCCCCGCGGCTTCGTTCTAGAAGGTCCTTTGGCTCCTCGCTGGGGAGGCTGAGACCAGCCGGGGGCTGGGCCCAGGCAGCACCTCTCAAGGCAGCGACAGGCAAACGCCAACGCCGGGCTTGGCCTGGCAGCAGAGAGCGGCTGGCTCACAGCTGTCAGCCTGTCAAGCATCTGCGCTCCAGCCCCACGACGGTTTCACCCGTGACGCTGAACTGCTCCACGTCTTCACGAGTTTCCCTCGGCACCACCAGGACAGCGAGAGCGGGTTTACCCCCAACAGTGCAGTGACCAAACCCCACAGCTGCACGCGTAACTCTCGACCCCCCCGCTCCTGGCCTGGGGAAGCTTTTCGGTCACGCTCCCTTCTCGCCTGCTGATGCTTGCATCACTGTTTGCCCAAGCCAAACAACTCTCACAGCTGGGAGCGTGCCGGGCGCGTAACGAGCGCTCTTCTTACTCCTTTCTCCCCTCTCCGCCGCCTGCGTGGCCAAACGGCGCTGAGGCTGCCCGTCTGCGGCACACAGCCGCTATCTGCACGCTGACGCAACCGCCCCCGTGTTTTCCCAGCCCAACACTCCCGTGTCTCCCAGGAAGGCTGTCGTTACACCCAGCAGCGGCAGCTTGGTAAAGGACAGCTGAAGCAACCCAAGGAGCCTCCTCCGTTACTCCGAAAGGCCAACGAGCGAAACAAAGCCGTAAGGCAGGGGACGAGACCTCGCAGCCCACGCCTGCGCGGGCTGCCCTCCTCACCATGTGCCCCGCTGGGTGGAAAACACGGCCCCACGGGCTGACAGGGGACAGCCCGGGAGAGGCTCCTGGTCCCTCCGCGTGTCCACGGAGCCAGAACACCGGCGCGCCCTCGGCGCTCTCGCAGTGCACGGTGACAGGCACCTGCCCGTAGCTCGGTCGGAGCAGTGGCAGCTCACCACAAAGCTCTGCAGCTTCCCCTCCCGGTTTCTTCGGGATACAGCGCGTGTGGCGTCTTCCGGTTTGGATTTTCCCTGTGGGAAAACCTACGTCTGTACAGGGAAGGGAGAGGGCAGGAGAGCACAAGAACAAGCACGTTCACACAGGCACCTCTCGCAACGCTCCGTGCTGCGGGGCTCTAGGAAGGCGCAGAAACAGCTCGTGCTGCAGAACGGATGCCGGGACTCTTCCCCAGCCTCACGTGAGGGAGACGGCAGAGTCTGGCTCAGACCCAGAAAGCACTACGATTTCTCGGGGCTTTTTCGCCCTTGTTTCCCCCAGCCGCTCTCTTCAGGAACGCTGCTCACGTAGCCGAGGAGAAGCCCTTTCCCCAGCCCCCCGAGACGCCCTGTTATCGCAGAACTAGAGGCAAGAGCGGAAGGACGTCGAGGCCGGAGCCCTCCTCCCGCACTCTCCCTTCCGGGCAGATTCTGCGCTCTGCCTGCTGTGCTTCGTCCCCATGAGGGCCCAGGAAAGGCGGG